AGACCTGCCAGTCCAAGCGAGCAAAACCGTACACACATCCCCTGCCAGTCCAAGCGAGCTAGTAGGCCTTGAAGAAAGGGGGGTGGAACCCTCCTGTCATGAGAAGAACGATTTCAACCCCTAGGTGAGGCCCGATCAGGAGCTAATCAAGAATATCAGGGAAAGTAAGGGGATTTTGGAGGGAAAGTTTGAGGGGTCTTAAGGGGTATTTATGACGGCTAAATAGCTAGGATTAGTTTTTTTTTTTTTCTTGTAGCTTTTGATTTTTTTGTCTTGTTCCTAGCATCATCTAAGGTTTGTAGAGACGATCTGCCTCTCGAATTATAGATCACCCTTGTATCTTACTTATTTATTTTAGTATTAATTGTTTAGCCCTAATTTAGGTTTCTTCCCACCTAATCCTCGCAAGTTTAAGGTTAAGGGAATGTATAATTGCTATCTTGAATATTAAGGTTAGGATTTGGGAGAAATTGTCTACCACTCTAATTATAGATGTTTATCTTTTATGTAATTGGTTTGTGTTGTTTTTTTAACGACGAAGAAAAATATTTTGTTTTGTCATACATTCTATGGGATTTCCTATAAAATTGGTATCAGAGCATTTGATATATAGAGAACCAATGACGAGATTGCGACGTCTTCGTGGCGGAACTTCGTGATACAGTTGCCTTCGTGACCGAGCCTCGCGATTCGAGCTAGCTGGGAAGCCAATGACGGGATTGCGGCGTATAAGGTCCCGCCTTCGTGATCGAACCTCGTGAATCAAGATAGTTGAGAAGCCAGCGACAAGATGTAAAGGAGCTCCACCTTCGTGATCAAAAATCATCCTAAGAGTAATGATCATCAAGAAAGTTAAAGCCTTGGAGGAGAAATTAGAAGGAGAGGTGACCTAAATCAAATCTAGAATGAAGGGTTTTCCCCTTGGATTTAGGAAACACTGACATGATATTGAATATGAAATAGTTGCAATCCTTAGGGGAGACCAAGATGAATTGAAAACTCCTGACAATGGAGTTACAGGAGAAAGATAGGATGACGGTGCTTCGGTGACCTAGTTTGTGCAAGACTGACACTCAAGACCATGATTAGGAAAATACAGGAAGCGGGATTATTGATCAAGTTGCATAGCATGGAAGAGATGCATAACATGGAGTTTGCAAAGATTCTAACACTAATCCAACAACTCCTATAACAAATTGTAGAAGTTTTTCAATTGCCATGTGAATTGTCGCCTCAGAGGAAACACAAGCATGCAATAACCCTGAGACGGATATTTTCGCTTATTAGAGTGTGGTCAGACTGTTACATCCAAGTAAGGAATAACGAGATCGAAAGATTCATCCGAGAGATGTTAGGGGTCGGGATCATACAGCCTAGTGTGAGTCCCTCCTCTGGCTGAATCTTTCTAGTGAAGGAGAAGGGTGGGAGTTGACATCTTAGAGTGGATTATAGGACGGTGAATAAGAAAATAGTACCTGACAATTTTCTATCTCAGTGATCGATGAGCTACTGAACGAGTTGTTTGGGGCTAGGATATTCTTCAAAATTGACCTTGAAATCATGATACCATGAGATTAGGATGCGGTGACACATGAGCATAAGACTGCATTTTGAACTCATGAGGGTCACTATGAATGTTCGGTTAAATGAAAAGATTTGTTAGATTATGACATCACGTGGGAGGCAAATGACTTGATTCAGCAACGGTTTCCTCTCTTCCACCTTGAAGACAAGGTGTCTGTTTGGGAGGAGAGTAATGTTAAATCGGTGCCTACGGCACTACCCACCTCATGCTCCATTAAGTCGATGCCAAGCTTCTCAAAATAGTTTGAAGATTTACTTAGCGTAAAACTAAAAGGGAAATTTAGTCCTTTGTTGTTATTATTGGGGATATAAATAGGGCTAATATGTTTAGGGTTAGGAGGATGTGTGATTGTTGTCTTGAATCTTAGGGTAAGGGTTTAAGAGAGATCGTCTACCTCTAAAATTTTAGGCGTTCATCTTTTATGTATTTGGATTGTGTTGTTTTGTGCTGATGAAGAAAAATATTTTATTTTGTCCTAATTTTTGTGAAAGTTCCCTCACCATCTTCCTCTTATTTAACTAAATAATGATATATATTAGATTTTAAAATAATGACTGTTGATAATAATATCTTAATTACATCCTCAATTGTTTATTACATGGGTAAGCAAGAAAAGTTTATAATGTTAATTTACTTATAATAATTTTAAGAAAATTTTTGATCTAATTACTCACACCTCACAAGAGTTGAGGCGAGGCGCGCATTGAGGCGAGTCTCATATTATGTGAGGCGTAAGCCTTATTAATATCAAATTTGGTGGGAACCTCATTACAAATTAAAAAAAAAAATTGCTGAGGTGAGCCTAAAGTTGTGCAATTTTAAACCATGCAGCTAATCTTTGATGCAACCATCTAACAAAGAGAGAGAAGAATGAGAAAAAAACACCCCCATGCAAACTCGAGTGAACACTTTAAGAGATAACGCATGACTGATAAAATATAAATATCTCTGCTCACTACAAAAAACATTTTAAACCACAAAGAAATTACCAATTGCAATTGGACATGATTGTAACACCATAAGCCAATTGATTTAAGCATATATTCCACCACATGAATTTTTAGATTCTACATTTATATTTGCAATTGATTTTCATAACTTCAAAATAATGTAAGGCGGTGTTTGAAGATGAATTACGTTAAATATGATGACATTATAAATCATAACAGTACTATAAAATTGTATAATGGGAAATATTATGTTTTAATATGCATTCCTCATAAATTTTATGCTACTAAAAATATATATAAAGCTGCATGTGAGAACATGTGGTCCCTTCAAAACTATGAGCAAATTTTATCATATGACAGGTCTACCAATTTAAAATTTTAATTCTGAGAATATTTTGTCATGTAAATATATTAGACAACCTCTAGACTTGCAGTTTAACCACTTTGTAGGAAATCACGATTACAGTTGCAAGTGTCATCTCAACCAAACTTCTTTGAGATTAAAATTATCACCAGTGTTTAAGTCCCAGCGAACAGAGACATTTCATATTGATTCCTATCAGATTAAAAAATCAACCAGCTTCAAAGGACAATTAAATGATAAAGGAAGACTTGGAGAACATTGCACCTGACTAGTTGATAACAATAATGATTCAACTCTTCCAAACAAAGTTCTTCATGGCTTGGTGAAATTGATATGTAACATCAAGTGGTGTGCGGGCCATTCACAAGAGCCTAATCCAATTTCCACCACCATGCATGCATAAGCATCATAGTTTCTTTCGATAGTTCATATAATTTTTAAATATAAGGTGGTTTAATCATGCTTGAACAAGTATCGTAGTTTGAAATCAAGAGTTTCGATCACATTTTATCAAATAATCTTAAAACAGATTTTCATATGACCATATAATAAGGCCTCTAAATTTGTAAACGAACGATGAGATCCCGTATATCCGCTAAAAGCGATGACGCCGACAATCACAGGTTCGAATGGGAGCGAGAGGCACGAAATTCCAATTTATCATTTTCTTTTCTTTCCTTTTTATTTATTTCCTATTCCTCTATTTTTAATTTGATTTTTTTCTTAAGGGACTATTTATATATTGTTATTTTCTAGTTGAGGAAATTTTTGTTTTGTATGTGAGTTTTTGAGATTGTAATCTCTGGTTTACAACTATGGAGTGGTGGATCATATTTCTTTTGTAGTTGATGTGTTCGTAGTTTATCCAGAAATAGATGTCGAACCTCCTTTACACTGCACTGCGTCGTTTCGTGGTTCTCATTGTTATTTTCAGCCGGAATAGCAACCGATTGACTACTATCCCTATTCAAACACCGTCAAAATCTCATATTGCATTCCCCCGCAATTCCATGACCACTTACCAGATAAACCCGCTTCTAAAATACCTTCTAGGAGCCCTAGAATGGTGTCATGTGCTCCCTCCCACCTCTCCCTCTCTATTTTATTCTCTAATTACCTATTTTCAAGGGTTAAACTCCCTATATTGCTTATGTGTGGAGGTTTGGTGGCTAAAACATTTTTTTCCTTGCAAGATGAATTTTTAATCTTCTATTCTCTCACACCCTAACCCTAATTCTCATCTCGCCTTTCTCCCCACTTATAAACAAACCCAATAGCCCATTATAACTCTCAACCCCTCATATCGAAAAATTATAGTGTAGTACTCTCAAGTTTGAACCCCAAAACACATCATAGTTCTACACTACTCTTCCCAAACGTCAACTCAGCTTCCCCATTATCCCTAAATCCTAATTCTGCCTTAAAGCTCCCTCCAAATCCAAACCCAAAGCCGAGACCATCACTTACTTAAACCTCCACAAATAAATCCGGCAATCCTTGCACATCCCAGCTTATCCTAAAAGCCAACTTAGTCTAACCTCAATAATCCTGCAACCTCACCCAACTCTCCATCAACCCTAAACCATTATTGCAAGAAAGAATGGCTTCCAATCAACCAGGAAATACCACCACCATCCCATCACTACATATTGGCAATCTTAAATCGCAAAAACAAAAAAAAACCTAGACCCCACGGTCACCAGAGCCTTATTTTCAGAGTTGAGTTGGTATTACAATAATCTAAAACTCTCACTCCAAATTCTTAACTGCACAATTTTCCTGACCCAAAACATGAACATTGACAATGCATGCAAGAAGTGCGACCTTTAACCCTAAAAGCCATTATGTAAATTTACATTTACTAGCCTACATTGCTCTCAAGCATCAGTTACGCGATGGCATCAAAAGATTATAAAATTGAGTAACGCGTAGAGCAAATGTCACGGGAAAAAGGCCAAGCCTGCCAATGCATCACTTTGAACCATCAATTCCAAGAACAGGCTTACAAATAATTCAGAAATCCGAACAACCGATCTAACCAAAACCACATTCTTGAAAATCAGAAAAATAAAAAGAGCAATAAATGTACGGGAGAAATTACGCCGGTTATCTTGACAAGCTGACCATGGGAGGCAGTGAGAAGGTCGGAAACGCGCAGGCGGTCTACGAAGTGGAGGACAGCCAGGTTCCTCCTGAAGCTTAAGGTGTTCCAGAGGAGAAGTGAAACGATGAGAGCTGAGAGTAGCAGAAGTGCAGCGAGGAAGAGTGCGTTTCCGACCACTACGAAGATGAAAAGGGAGACCACAGTGGCCGGAAGGAGGAGCAGAAAAAGCACAAAAGGGACGGAAGCTGGAACCGGAGCACAGAGCCGGCGGCTCGATGTGGCGACGCCGGTACCGGAGAGATCGTTCATTGACCCTCTGCCGCCGTCGGCGGAGGGGAAGAATGTCGGGGTTTAGTGAGGCTTGGCTTTGGTTGGAGCTATTTGAAGGAAAACAAGGAAAAGAAGTGGAGAGAAATTTGAAAAACAATTTTTTTACTTGTTGGATGAATAACCTTTTTTTTTTCTTCTTTTTTGGGAAGTTATAATTAAAATTTTATTTTAGACTAGGATAACTTTAATTTTTACTGGAAGTATTGACGTTGAGTGTCATTTATTTGAACAATATTTGAACTATATTCGAGATGAAATATAAAGAAGCTTAATAAAATCTAACTCGAGTTTTGTTGGAGAACAAGTCAAATTAGAGGATGTAGCAACCATAACTCACTGGAAAATGCCATTGCTTGCTATAAAACGATGATGATAGGTGCTCAATCGACGGTGCAATCACGAGAGCTCACCATAAAATGTCTCAAAAAAACCAACTTTAGAGCAGACTGGAGAATGGCAACAACGAGAGCTCAAATTGAGATTCAAATTATTGTTCATGGTGGTAAGTTATGATCACTTTTGTAGGCTACAGGGACTGGAGTCGGAAGTTGTATGAACTGCAAGTCACATAGATCATAGTAGTAAGTTGTAATGATATTTGTAGGCCATAATGCTCAAAGTTGAGAGTTATATGAGTTGTGAGCCACGCGGGGCATAACTGGTCATGTACTCCGCACTGATAAGTTTTAAGTACATCCATAGGCCATCTAGTCCAAGTTGGGAGCTATAACAATGTTTATTAAGTTGTAGAGGTTGTAGCTAGGAGATGCATTGCAATGGCTATAGTTGGAAGAGCATGAGCTATGACCCATGTAAGCTATAGTTGGTCACTTATACCAAATAGTAAGTTATGGCGACGTTCATAGGTTGTAGGCATCAGCGTTAGGAGCTACACAAGTTATGAGTCACTTAGGCCAAAGTTGGTATCATAGGTCGTTATGGTAAATTGCAACCACACCTGTAGGCCTTAGAAATTGAATACGAGAGCTACATGAGTTGTAAGTCACATAGGTCATAGTTGGTCACATGGTTTGTAATGATGATTTGTAGGGATGTCTGTAAGTAATCAAGATTGGAGTTTGGATCTATAACAACATCCACAGGCTGTAAAGGATGGAGTTAGGAGACACATGAGTTGTGAGTCACGCAGGTCATAATAGTGAGTTTGATGGCGTTCATATGTCATGATGGTCAGAGTCGCGAGCTACATGAGTTGTGGACCGCGAAGGTCATCGTTGGTGACATAAGTCCTAATGGTGAACTTTAATGACGTTCATAGGCCACAAAAACTGGAGTTGAGAGATGTGTGAGCTGTGAGCCACGTAGACCGTAGTTTGTCACATAGGTCGTTTGAGAAGTTATCATATACCTTGGATGTTTTATTACACAATATTCAATGGAGCATGTTACACCATCTTTGGGGCGTTGTCTTTACACCCTCTTCGAGGGCATTATTACAACATATTTTCTTTACGTTGTTGCACCCTTTGGTGCTTCAATACTTTGTAATATATGTCAGGATTCTACGATGCATTTTGTGATTCTATAAGGAGTTTCTTTGCAAGGAGCAGGTTAGCCGATGGTCAGTTGGCGAGTGGTGGTCGACAACTGCTAGAGCGAGAAGTGTTCAACAAATTTTTGATAGTAAATGACATTGGGCTTCAATTCATTCTTCTCTTGGTCCTTCTCCAGGCTCAGGTCTCGATCAAGGTCCTCTCTCAAGCAGAGGGAATGACTCTATTTATAAAATTTGGAAGATGCCTCCTTATCTATAAAAAAAAAAGAAACGCATACCAGTCCATGGGATAAACAGGGCGGGTTCCCTCAACCGGGCAACATTTTTGTGAACATTTGAGTGCCTTATTAATGTAAAAATTGATTAATCTTGTGCTTGTTGGATTTGTTTTTCGAGACTCTTAATTTAATCATAAGCTTGTCAGATTTGGAATCTCGTTTGACATTCCAATTAAGGGCCCATAAGCTTTTAAAAATGGTTTAGCAACTCGACTTGGGCTTGACTTGACTCTGATTGGGTCGATGTTTATGCCATTGCATTTGTTTCGTCGAGGAAATCATTTTGACTATAAGTTTGTTGAAATCAGAGTTTTTGATGATTTATAGTTGAATTTTGAACATTCACAACTAAAATAAATTATCTCGACATTCATGCCACGCCTCGATATTCATGTCGGATGATAAAAATTTTTGTTATGCATAAACTCATTTCTATTCATATACATTAAAGTTTATAATATTATCACCTAAATGCAAGGTGACTATGATAAGCCTCATTCAATGATATTAAAAGTCAATTTTTGATTAGAAGATAATAATATAGACCAATCATTATCTTTATAAAATTTAATCATATAATCTACAGTAATAGAATGATTTAATGTATGCATACCATAAAGGGAGGTCATCATAACATATTGATAAAATTGTATATAAATAATTTATATTAAAGGCAATGCACACAAATAAAATGATAGAAAAGAGAATAAGATGATGAAAAAAATAAAGATCACAGGGAAAAATATGAAAAATTATAGTGTTAAAAACTATAAGAGGAAGTTATTCTTTTGAAAAAAAGACAATGAAGACACGAAGGATGCTTTTTGATTAACATTTCATGAAAAAAAAGGAAGGGATGAGGGTGAGATGGTTGTTTACTAAGGAGCTCAACTACTACAGTGTGAGAGAGCTTGTGATGCCCTACTTCTCTGTCTCTGTCCTTCAATTTCTACTTAAAGATAACAAAGATGAGATTTTTGTGAAAAGTTGGGGTTGAGGAGGCAAGGCATCAGATTAACATCGAGAGCCCAGGTCTAGGGCTTTGGCGGTTTGGATCAACCTTAAGCTGGTCTAATTGATTAGTCAGATTTAATATTTGTACAATATTCAAACTTAAACTCCGTTGAATTCTCTTCGAACTTCATCAATCTTGTCTGGACTTGTTACATTGTCATTTTTATGTTAAAATAAAATTTGTATAATTTGAAGTTCTAGTATGTTATTTAATATATCTTTAGATGTCTAATATAGGAGAAAATAGTTCGTCCAAACACCCACATCGGGGGAAAAAATTTGCGTACATAAGACGTACGCAGAGCTGCGTACGTCTGTAACCTGCAAACAGATTACAGAGAAGATTTTAGGAGATTATAACCGCGTTATACCCCCTGTAACCTCCCTGTAACTTACCTGTACCTTCCTACCCTCCCTGTAACTTACCTGTACCTTCGAGTAAGTTCCGCGCTTCTGTTTTCATATATAGGTAGGTTACAGAGAGGTTAAAGGGTGTATAACATAGTTATAACCAACTGAAATCCTCCCTGTAACCTGTTTGTAGGTTACAGACGTACGCAGCTCTATGTACGCAAATTTTTTCCCACATGGGAACCAAATAAATCAATATTTTTTAGCACATATAATATAATTGAGAACATCTCTAACTTTCAACAATTAGTTGGAGCCGAAACAATATTGCGCTCATAATTCTGCTTCTCTTCTTCTCTTCCTTCTCTTCGGTGACGTACATCGCTGAATCATGACCTTTTTGTTAAAAACCACAACCTTTGAGCAGGCTATCGTGTAATCGGAATCCGACCCTCTCAATTCTTCTTCTTTTTTATCTCTAGCTCACGATCTTGCCCTCTTTGGCCTTTTCGATTTTCTTGCAGGAATGAGCTTCTTCAAAGACCTTGTTGATTCCCTCTCCTCCTTATTCCCCTCTGCTGCGTCGGTTTCTTTTTCCGCTCCTCCACCGCCTCCGGCTTCCGAGGCTGTGATGGAAGCTACTTCGGTCGTCAATGAGCGGGTCGTCCTCAAGCTGAAGGGCTACTTTGAATTGGCAAAGGAGGAGATTGCTAAGGCAGTGCGAGCCGAGGAATGGGTCCTCATCGACGATGCCATCACGCACTACAGGAACGCTCAGCGCGTGATGCTCGAAGCGAAGGCTGCCAGGCTACCCCCGGCACTATCATCGAGGTCTGATTTGTTTTGCGTTCCTAAAGCAATTGATATACTATTTTCGGCTTCATTTATTAATTTAAAGTATTTTGATTCACTTAAATTTCTTTGTGTTGGCGCTCATTAGAGATCATCGCCTGGTGAAGGATTATCAGCAAAAGATTTCAAAATGGCAAGAGCAGGTGTCTGAGAGATTACAAGTTTTATGTCGGAGAGCAGGTATTTGTCTTCTATCCCAACTTAATAGTGATTATCTTGGAATGAATGTCCTTGAATTTATGTTTGATTTGCAACTCCATAGTTTGTTATTAAAAGTCGAACTTACAAATTGTTTGGTTTGGCAGGTACATCGTCATTGAAGGTATGGAATAATAGTCTATCAGAACTGTAAGTGAGAATAAATTTTTATGGTTAAACCGCACACAATTTTTTGACTATTAAAGATTAAATTTTCTGTATTGACAGTGAGAATAGAACTAGCATGTAAGGCATAGATAGTTATCAGAAGAACTTTAGTTTTAGTGGGTTGGCTTATCAGAGTGTGTAGTTTGATGGATTTCTTTCTTGATTTAGGGCATTTATATTTGTATAAGCCTTCTATCAACCCCTTCTTATTATTAAAAATATAGATGATGTGATGATTATTAAAAGTAGCTGTGGGGTGATCAAAGAGTTTTTAATTCTTGTAGGACCACAATAAGGATCAACATTAATTTCATATCTTTTTGCATCAGTTATGGTAATGCTTAAACGATTCAAAATGAGTTACATTGATGTATGTTTTATTTGCAAAGGATGTTTTTGTCAACGAGGGATCTATTGGAATAAGTGAAAATATTGAATAATGGAGAAGTATTTAGAAGGTAAATAACTTAAAGTTAGTAGGCAAAGATTATATATGGGATATGCAATTTCAATGGCTTGATGATCCTAGTTTTAATAATCATCAGTCAGAATTGCTAGAAGGTAAATATAACTAGTGTTGATAGGTTTAATAAATTATTATCTATTTTATAAAATGGGGCAATAAATCATGATATAAATTATAAAGTAAATTGAGTGGTTATAAGTAGAGTTGTGGTTTGGTATTATGAAATAAGAGAGTATCATGGAGACTTAAAAAAGTTAATTGTATAAAATAAACTCATAAAAAATTTATTTTTTGTTTCTTTGTACAAGTAGGGATGTATATATACATCCTCAAGAAACATTACAAAATGTGAATGTAGGAAAAAAAGGAGGGGAAAATAAGAAGTGTAAGCGGCCCTTTAGGGAAACACAAAAATTATAAATTGAGGGCCATAGAAAAATTATGCATCAGTACAAAGCCTTGATCTATATGCTCTGAGCTCTTTGTTATAATTGGAGCGTAGGCCTTTCTGCAAAAAAGGGCTGCAGAAGAATGTGAGAGAGAGAGAGAGCAGGAGAATGGGGGTTGTATTGTAGTAGCTAGACTTCAACAGTAAACTTTATAAATTTGTAATTTGCTAGCTATATCATATGGATTTGTGTTTGGGGTAATAAAATAAGAACTGATAGATATATCGGGTAATGATTATGCTAGATGGAACGGGAGCAACAACTATCAAAATTAAGGTAGTAGAAAATGGATTTATTTGATTTTAACAAGTGCAAAAATGGTAAAATAATGCATTCATAAGATGGTTATATGAAAGTAGTGTAAGAGAATAAGCAAGAATAACGAGTAGGAACTTGTAACATGAATAAAAGTTGTGGAAAATATTTGTTCAAAATAGGTTTAATACTTCTTGCAATACTCAACAAGAAGAAATAGAGACTGATGATTCATATAACAAACCAAAATGTTTGGGATAGTGACGTGAATCCAAAAGGAATCACCAATTGTTCCATAAACATTTCATTGAATTTGAAATTTGGTTCTCTTCTAGCCTCATATGTTACGAAAGATTATCCTTATGCATTGTTTGACTTCCTATTCACTCCTACTCAGTTGAAGGGTTCCAATATGTTTTGAGATATAAAAGTTAGTTTTATGTTCTAACATGTTTATAAAATTAAAAATGGAAATGACGGGAACCAACTAAAATGTTATTCATCTTGTTTACGTTCTCTGATATGCATGCATTTGCTTAGGCTAGCACTAACCACTCACCAACTGGAAAAACATCATCTATGGGGTCAAGTTTGAGGAGAGGTAATTTCATATCAGGAAACGAGAGTGATAGTGGCAAAGGCTCAAAGCACATTCAAGGTTCTTCTGGTGCTAATGATTCCAGATTGGTTGAAATGATAAATATGGTTATTGTTGATAAAAGCCCTGCTGTGAAGTGGGATGATGTTGGTAAGAACTTGGAAAATAATTTATATTCACATTTTGTTTTGAAGTGGTGGTGGTGTTTTATCTTTGTTTTGTAACTGTTTTCAGCTGGTCTAGAGAAGGCAAAGCAAACCCTTTTGGAAATGGTTATCCTGCCAACTAAGAGAAGGGATTTGTTTACTGGACTACGGAAACCACCGAGAGGTATATCTTTGTACCTAGTATCTCAAAGAGTCTTTTCTTAGATGTTCATCCTTTGGGCAAAGTTTCTTATGTATGTTCCATGTGTTTCAGCATCATTTTGAAGTGTAACGTTGGCTTGAATTTATTGGAAATGTTAAATTCTTAACCCCCCCTGAGATCAAATTTTCTACATTTACGCAGGACTACTTCTCTTTGGGCCACCAGGAAATGGTAAGACAATGCTCGCCAAGGCTGTTGCTTCGGAATCAGAGGCTACATTTTTCAATGTTTCGGCATCCTCCTTAACATCTAAATGGGTTTGTTATTATCATATATTTCACTGCTTTCCATTCGGAACTTTATGTAATGAAAAATGACTGAAAATTATGATGACAGGGCAGGTTGGAGAGGCAGAAAAACTTGTCCGGACTCTTTTCATGGTTGCTGTTTCTAAGCAGCCCAGTGTTATTTTTATGGATGAGGCATGTGTCCTTTTTTATTTCCTATTTTTCTCTATTCCATGCTCACGATTGTCCTTTTTTCTTTCCTATTTTTCTCTATTCCATGCTCACGATTGTGTAGTTAAAACACAGATTTTTATCGTGCTATGCACTGGTTACTGCACTCTTTGTGAGTTTTGGAGTCATGGATTAAATACGAGTTTGGTATTTTTCTTCACATTTTTTCATATGTACTGATTGCTCCTATTATCAAGTTATCCTTTTGCCTCAATTAGGTCGACCCTGAGATACGTAGAGGCAAATATCAGTTTAGAATAAAATATGAAAATTTCATGAAATATGAAGTGGCCCTGGAAATCATTTTTTTTAGTTTAATTTTCATTTATGTTTGTTGGTAGGAAAATGAAATGACTCTCCTCTTATGATTTCATTTGGCGTAATGCAATGATGAACACCGAGTAATAAGCTGTATAAAAGTTCTACATCAAAGAAATTAAGATGGATGTCAATCAGGAAAGACGGAAATCAGGAAGCTAAATTAGGAGTTTTCTATAATTAGGAGCTTCCTTATTTAAATTATTTTTAATGCCTTTATTCTGATTTATTTCCCTTTTAGCTGAATAATTAGATTAGGAATATGTATCACTAAGTTACTTAAAATAGATTATGCACTTTATTTTGTACCTAAAATAGATTGTAAGATTATTATTAATGGAATGAAAGCAAAGGGAAAATGCATCGAGCCTATTCAAAATTCAACCTATTTTTCTTAAAATTTTGACATGGCATCAAAGTCAAATTTTTGCCCTAACCACGGATAATCGTTGAAGGACCGTCAAGTCTCTCTTTCCGCCGACCTTCTTGCGGGACGGGAAGGGAGGAACTATTTCTTTGCCTTTATTCTCGCTCGTCTGCTTTATCTAAAACGCTCGTCTGCGTCGCTTGCTGCTTCGGCTGCTTATTCTAGACCGTTCCCCTGGTTGTTTGGCTTGCTCGACCTTGACTATTTGGTCTCTTGGATTGCTTCTTCTGCTTCCACTGCTTCGCTTGATAGTCTACCTTGACTGTTCGATCGATTAATTGCTTCGTCTGTTTCGTCTGTTTCGTCTGTTTCGTCTGTTTCGTCTACTGCACTCACTCCCTCTACTTTGTCTGCTTCTTCGACTGGTTCTGTGTCCCGCCTCTTTGTTCGAACTTCGTCTTCGAATGCTTGCTCCAACTCCCAACCAACTGCTGTCCTTTTGGATCCATCTCATCTCCGTCATTAGCGCCGACCACTACCCCTGCCTCTCGTCTCTTCCTCTCCCACCTTCAAGAATCTATTCGCCGATCTCTCTCCGACCGTCGTACTTGATCGGAACTTCTCGATCGCTCCGCCTTTTCTCTACCAAAATCTCTTTCTAACGCCACTTTTCGTTTCTAGAAAAACTTCTCCTACTTCTGTATCAACTATTTTACTCTAATCAGCGCCGTACTTGCTCTCTCCCTTGTCACATCTTGCCTCCCTTTTCATCCTACTTGGATTGATCGCCTCTCGGTGCTTCCTCTACATTTTCCGTCCCTCCGATCCCTCGCTCGTTCTCTTCAGACACACTTTTCTGTTGGTTAGGGGAGCTTCATAAAATTTGAATTAGGAAAAGCTAAATGTTGGTGGTAACATAGAGGAGTATGAGGTTTTGGAGCAGATTGGCAGAGGGGCATGTGGCTCTACTCTTCTTGTGAAGAACAAGGTGGAAAAGAAGAATTATGTCTTGAAGAAGATCATACTTGCTCGACAGACAGATAGATGCCGCAGGTCTGCTCGCCAAGAGATAGAACTTATTTTAAAGTGCAAAATCCATTCATTGTGGAGTATAAATATTCTTGGGTTGAAAAGGGCTGTTATGTTTGTATTATCATTCGTCTGATTCAGATCTTCTTCGCTAGACATTGCTCCTTCTGCGGTATCTTTGACACTCAACGACTTCGGCATCTCGGCTTCAGCAATTTTGGCGTGAAGATCAAAGAACAAATCTTCCTCGTCGTAGCAGGAAGAATCAATAGCATTTGGATTGTATAACAGGACGCGGATCCTACTTGTGTGCTATGATCAGTAGTCTTGTGGGCTCTTGACCTCATTGTGAGTGAGGTCTAGTCTTTCTCTTAGGATTTAGGATCTATCCATAGGGATCTCCCTTTGACTATCTTAGAACCTTAGAAATGGAACCCGCCACATTTTAGAAGTTCGACCTACTTCTATCCTCTTTTGGAGTTTCGCGTGTGTGACATCTTCTTCTAGCACTTAGAAGGGTGAAACCAACATGAGGAAACCCAAAAGGGATTCCTATAGGACCTTTCTGAGCCTTAGGATGACCTTCTGCACAATTCGCACTCGCGCGCGCCCAAAGCTTCGCAGTTTGGAGAGGCGACACGTCCGAGAACACCCGCCCATTCGCCACAACTCGCATCGCTTGCACTGTTACCTGTCGACGACTCGAATAAACCTTTTGAAACGATCGATAGTAGGTCGAAATTTTGTGGAATTTGAATTTTGACGCGTTTTTTTTTACCCGATTGTCGACGACGTCGTCCGAGCGACCCCGGATGACAAAACAGACTGCACCGACACTTCCGGGGCGTCGATTTTGCCCAGGGAGGACACTCATTTTGTTACGATGCCGCGCGTGAATAAATCGCATATAATTTAATATATATATATATATATATTAATTTATATAAAACCAATT